GTCTGAATGCATTAAAAAAATGGTAAAAATCAACATTTAACTTGTAGAGTGTTTCCTTAAGACATGAATAATCATTCAATACAAATATTAAGACTTACAGTTGAAACCAGAGGTTTAAATACACTATAAAGAAAGGAACATAACCATTTAAAAGCGTCTGGTGTTAAATCATACTAAATGTTTACTATTTTAGGTCCGTTAGGATAACCTGAATGATTTACATTTGCTAAATGCCAGAATAATGAGAGAATTTTTTTTTTGAGAATTTTTGACTAATTTCTAGACAGTCAAAAGTTTGTACACACATTTCCTTGGTATTTTTTAGCTTTGCTTTTAAACTGTATAACTTAGGTCAAATGTTAAGGTATCCTTCCACAAGCTTCACACAATAGTTTGCAGGAATTTTGGCCCATTCCTCCTGAGAGAATTGGTGTAACTGAGTCAGATTTGTAGGCTGTCCTGCTCTCACAAGCTTTTTTAACTCTGGCCACACATTTTCTATAGGATTGAGATCAGGGCTTTGTGATGGCCACTCCAAAACATTCACTCAGTTGTCCTTACCGCACATTTTAACTCAATTGGCAGTATGCTTAGGGTCATGGTCTGTTTGGAAGATCCATTTGTGGCCAAGTTTTAATTTCCTGGCTGATGTCTTGAGATGTTGCTTCAGTATTTCTCCATAATGTTCTTTCTTCATGATGCCATCTATGCTGTGAAGTGGACCAGTCCCTCCTGCAGCAAAACAGCCCCACAACATGATGCTGCCGCCCCCATACTTCACAGTTGGGATGGTGTTCTAGGCTTGTAAGCTTTCCCCTTTGTCCTCCAAATGTAACACTGCTCATTATGGCCAAACAGTTCAATCTTAGCTCCATCAGAGCACAGAACATGCCTCCAAACATTAGTCTTTTTCCTAGTGTCATTTAGCAAATTGTAATCTGGCTTTGTTGTTGATTCTGGCTTGTTGATTTTCCCATGTTGTCACACAAGGAAGCAGTGTGCTTGAGGTTTTTCTTAAATACTATTCTACAGTCGTGCCTTCAATTAACTCAAATGTTGTCAATTAGCCAATCAGAATCTTCCAAAACCTTGACAGCATAATCTGAGCTTTTTCAGAGGCAGAACAATCTTATTATTTGTGAACTTGACTTTAAAGAAAAGTTATAACAATTTCTCAAAAATATCTCTCTGATTATTTTGCTATTAAGCAGAACAGAAACACATTTGATAATCCTGACTTACCTAAAAGAGAAACAGGTTTAATCACATCAACATCTGCCCTTTTTTTAAATGCTTATGTTCCTTTTTACAGTGTATGTAAACTTCTGGTTTCAACTGTATATACAACCTTACACATGCTGGCAACCCAGTCTCCACTTTCCCCCCATTTTTTAGAAAACCCTAAATGAAGTAATCCACTTTCAACCCAGAATAAAAAATTCAACACAAGCCGTTGCATATAAAACAAGCCGATACATTTATTGATGCATTTGAGTTATGAATTAGCCGCTGACTGAACTGTAACCCAATCATAATGCATTCCTATGAAGAAAACAGACCTCCAGCCAGAGTTTCAAAAGTCCATATCCGTTAACCTGCCTTCATCCCTCACAACAAAAACCATGTTTCGGCTAATTAACATTTTACAGCGACTGTCCCATAAACATGACAAACAGCAGTAAATTTACACTCCGCAACCTTCAACCATATTCCACAAGCGCATAAATCACGGCTGTTTTTCGGTTTCTGCAAATGCGCATGGCTGAAAGTGCACGCAGACGCTGGCAGAACACCAAAACGCAGACGAGAGGTCACTCAAACCACCATAAATAAAGCATTTACGCTGGGCTTTCAGCAGGAGACGCCATTTACACTGTAAGCTGTACGCATTATAATATTTAATCGCCCCTGCTAACCTGCGCTAAATGAGTCCATTTCACTGTAAACACAAGTTAGGCTGTAAACTCGTCTGTAGGAGTGATATTTACAAGGTTTGTTTATGTGGTCGAAAAGGGTTTGTGATTCGTTTAGTCAACAGCGGTTTTATTGGATGTAACAGAAACGTTTAACAGGCACCGTTGATTTTAATGTACATGTAGTTGTCGTCGAACATTTATAGCGTCTGTATTTCTTTCTGATAATGATTTAAAAATGAACTTAAAGGGATAGTTCACGCAGAAATTTGTTCAATTTTTAGCTACTCTCCCCCGTGTGGTTTAAAACCTTGAGTTTATGAACAAAAAATAAAGAAGATATTTCGAAAAATGCTCAAATAAATGCTTGACAATGCTGGTGGCTTTCACTTTCATTTCATAGTCAAGCATTGTTAAAAATAACTTGGAAGAAGATCTCAAATATGTTTTGAACAAACAAACGGTGAATGAATGAAGACATATTTAATTTTTGGGTGAACAATCCCTTGAACTATTCCACTTATTTATTGTAAATAGGTTCATTTTACGACTCACTTTGAGTTAAACTGTTGAGTTTCACCATTTTTTTGTATCCATTCAGCCAATCTTTATGTCTGGCAGAGCACTTTTAGCTTAGCTTAGCATAGTGAATAGAATCAGATTAGACCGTTAACATCTCGCCTCAAAAATTACCAGAGTTTTGATCATTTTTAAAATATTTTTAATATTTAAAGCTTGATTCTGTGTAATATCATTGCGCCTGCTGCAGCCTTGGTACAGCAGTAAAGTTCCTTGATTATTACGCCAGAATGAGAGTGTAGTTCCTAGCCGTATTAGCTCAGAAAACATCTACTTTTCATTTTATTTCAGTCTTAGTAGGCCGGTGTTATTTATTAATTATTATATTAAATAATAATAAAAAAAAGATCAAAACTCTGGTGATTTTTGAATGAGAGGCTAATGGTCTAATCCGATTCAATGATCTATGCTAAGCTATGCTAAGCATACAGTGCTCCTGCCAGACCCGGAGATCGGCTGAATGGATTTAAAAATGGTTAAAATCATTAAGTTTAACTTTAGGGAAGTTGTACAATGAATAAAAAAGGTGGAGTGTTCCTTTAAGACATAAAAAATCATTCAATACAAATCTTACGACTCCCTTAGAGTGAGACTGTTGAGTTTTACCATTTTTAATCCATTCAGCCGATCTCCGGGTCTGCACTGTTAGCTTAGCATGGTTAATTGAATCAGATTGGACCATTAGCATCTCACTCAAAAATCACTAGATTTTTGATCTATTTTTAATATTTAAAGCTTGATTCTGTGTGATATCATTGCGCCTGCTGCAGTCATGGTACAGCAGTAAAGTTCCTTGATTATTACGCCAGAATGAAAGTATAGTTCCTAGCTGTATTAACCAAGAACATATCAACTTTTAATTCTGCCAGTCTTAGTTACAGAAAAGTCAAGCTTTATATAAAAAAATGATCAAAATTCGCGTCATTTTTGAATGAGATGCTAATGGTCTAATCTGATTCAATGATCTATGCTAAGCTAAGCTAAGAGTGCTCCCGCCAGACCCAAGGATCGTCTGTATGGATTAAGAATGGTAAAAATAAACTGTTTAACTTTAGGGAAGGTGTAAAATGAACAAAAAAGGTGGAGTGTTCCTTTAAGACATACACAATCATTTTATACAAATCTTACGACTCCCTTAGAGTGAAACTGTTGAGTTTTACCATTTTTAATCCATTCAGCTGATCTCCGGGTCTGGTGGGAGCACTGTTAGCTTAGCATAGTTAATTGAATCGGATTAGACCATTAGCATCTTATTCAAAAGTCTAAAAAGTTGATCATTTTAAATCATTAGCATCTCACTTAAAAATTACCCGATTTTTAATATTTAAAGCCTGATGTTGTGTAATATCATTGCGGCTGCTGCAGTCATGGTACAGCAGTAAAGTTCCTTGATTATTACGCCAGAAAGAAAATATAGTTCCTAGCCATTTTAGCCAAGAAAATACCAACTTCTTCCTTCAGTCATAGTACACAATGTAATTACCAAAAAGTCGAGCCTTAAATAAAAAAATGATCAAAAACTCTGGTGATTTTTGAATGAGATGCTAATGGTCTTATCTGATTCAATTATCTATGCTAAGCTAAGCTAACAGTGCTTCCGCCAGACCCAAAGATTGGCTGAATGGATTCAAAAAATGGTTCAAATCAACAAGTTTAACTTTGGGAATTTGTAAAATAAATTTTCCCTTAAGACATGAACAATCATTCAATACAAATTTTACGACTTCTGCTGAAACTGTTTAGTTTCATAATGTTTTAATTCATTTAGCCGATCTCTGGATTTGGAGGTACGTTTTTAGCTTAGCTTAGCTTAATGAATTGAATCGGATTAGACCATTAGCATCTCACTCAAAAATGACCAGATTTTTAATATTCAAAGCTTGATGCTGTGTAATATCATGATGTCTGCTGCAACCATGGTACAGCAGTAACATTCCCTGAATATTAAGCCAGAATGAGAGTATAGTTTCAAGCCGTATCGTTACAAACATTTCCTTTTCTAAGTACAGAAGAATCACAGTCTTAGTACATAAAATAACTACAGGAGAGTGAAACTTTAAATAGGAAAATTATCAAACCTCTGGTCACTATTGAGCAAAATGCTAACGGTCTAATCTGATTTAATAATCTATGCTAAGCTAAGCTAAAGTGCTTTCGTCAGACCCGGAGATTGTCTGAAATGATTCAATAATTGATAAAAATCAACAAGTTTATCTTTAGGGAAGTTGTGAAATTAGCCTTCTTTAAAAAAGGTGTTGTGTTCCTTTAAGACATGAACAACCATTCAATACAAAAATCCACATAGCTTAATTCTGACATCGTAGCGAGTACCATCAGAAGATAGCAGCAGTTTTTGAGCCACTAGCTGCGTCGATGATAAAAAAAAAAATTAAAAAAACTGGCCGCCTATCAGCTCTTAATAATATAATCTCATCTACAGTTCATTTCATCATCCCTTTCAAAAAAACAAACAATCTACACTTCAAAAAAGATCTACATAAACTCATCCTGGTACAAAAACCAATAGTGTAATAAAAATAGGGGTAGAGTGTAAATATATATTCATATTTATACATTTCTAGATGTATTTACAGGAAAGGAGGTCAAGTCAGATCAACCCGTTGGTAAAAATACATTCGGGCGGACCATTTCGGTGGATCTCAGTTTGTTTCGTAACGATTTGGATGCTAAAATTAACAGCGATAAAAAACATCAACGCCCCCAACGCCAGTCAATCTGGAGATCGTACAATGACGGATGTATTTGAGTTTTGAGAACATCCGAGTACCACTTTCCTGTCCTCCAGCGTTTCAGGAGCAGTGATAGTCCGTATTTCAAGCACTTGAAGCTTTGGCGGTTTTGTGTGCAGCTGTATGTGTTTCTCCCAGAGTTCATAAGTCTGCACACACACACACTGAGTAAATGAGTCCTCAGCGCTTTTTAAAGGCCACTCCTCGGTTGGGATGGGGTGGGAATTTGGGCAAACAGGGCTCATCGGCTCCGGCGTCATGAGAAAACACTGAGTCTTCACCTGAGGAGCAGGTGGAGCTGCGAGTGTCCGGGAAGTTTGGAGAAAACTGGTCCAGAGATACGGACAGGTCCAGATACTCCTGTAGATGGAAGATGTAGAATGGGTTTTAATCTGACAGCATGATTTATAGTAGTATTAAACGTATTCTTTTACATTGATTTTTATAAAAGAAAGTATTTTATAACAACAATTTTAATAATAAGGATAACAGCAATTTAAGTAAATTTTTTTGTACAATAATAATAATAATAATAATAATAATATTAATAATAATAATAATAATAATGACTATTTTACCATATAATAAACGATAAAACTAATTTACAATAATTATTAATTATTTCCTTATGAAAGATATCACATATTATTATTAACATTATTATTATTATTATTATTATCCAATGATAAACATAGAATTTAATTATATTTATACTTAATAATAATAATAATAAGAAGAAGAAGAACAAGAAACTAATAGTAATAATAATACAATAAGTATAATAATTTTAACTAATTATGAATAAAAATAAAATAAAAATAATTTTGAATAATTTTAATAACTTTTATTATATAAAAACAAAACTTATTTACAATAATTTATAATAATAATAATAATAATAATAATTATTATTATTATTATTATTATTATTTAATGATAAATGTATAATTATAACAATGATAAATACAAATTTTAATTATACTTAATATAATATATAATATATTATATAATATAATATATTATAGAATAATATATACAATATTATATAATAATATAATTAATATAATATAATACTAAATAATAATAATAATAATAATAATAATTAGAAGAAGAGAAGAAGAACATGAAACTAATAGTAAAAATATTAAAAATAAGTACAATAATTATAACTAATTAAGAAACTAAAAATAATGACAATTATTTTGTATAATAGTATTCATGACTTTCATTGTATAAAAAACATAATTTACAATAATTTATAATTATTAATTGTTTCCTTATGAAGAATATCAAATATTATCATTGCCATTTTTATTATTATTATTATTATTATTGTTTTTATTATTGTTATTATTATTATCGAATGATAAACATATAATTATAACAACAATGATAAATATAAATTATAATTATACTTAATAATACCAATAATAAAATAAGCACAAGAAACTAATAGTAATAATAACAAAAATAAGTACAACAGTTTTCTCTAATATTAAATACAAATAATATTAGTAACAACAATAAATTATTTTTATAAAGGTTTAAAATAAAATACAGGACGGGTGTTGAACAATAAAAACAAATAAAATAAAAACAAATAATAACATTCCTGAACAATATGATGACAAAAATCTACTAATAATTTTTATATAATTCAATAGTTTAATAATAACTGCTAATTCTAAAAATAATAATTAGCTTATTTTTAATAAAACTGCAAAATAACACAACTGCTGTCCAATAACAACAACAATAATAATAATAATAATAATAATAATAATAGCTGCTAATTCAAAAATTTTTTTTTTGTAAAAACGTAAAATAACTGCTGTTCAATACTACTACTAGTACTACTAATAATAATGATATAAATAATAATAATAAACAACAACATTGTGACTATAAAAATACAAAAGTAACATTTAAATATGAAAATAGATTTACAATTCTACAATTACAACAACACAATTCATAAATCTCCAATGTATTATTCTCTTTTAGTAGTATTATAAAATTATCATTATTGTTATTATTATATATTCTGAACGAGGGCAAGGTATTGTGCAATGTAATGTACAATAATTATTTAACAGTTTTTTATTCACAATTTTTTCTGCACTACTGCATCAGAATTAAAAACTACAACAACTAAAACAACACCACAGTTGCAATGTTATGCACAGCACTGAAAGCTGATTAAACGCTGTTGTTCAGCAGAAACTCACCTGATTGGACGTCATGGAGAGGGTGCGGTCCAGATCCTCCACCAGCTGTTTAAAAGTGGGTCTCTGAGACGGGACGGCGTGCCAACAATCCCTCATCATCATATACCTGCAAAACAATCGTAATGAGCCACTCAAATCTCTACCATCAACTCAAACATTTGAAGATCATCTATAACGTCCCTTTTTAATTCCCTGATGAGTGTGTATGCGAAATTTCAGCTTAAAATAGCTTTCAAATATGGTTTTTATTAACTGCTTGAAAATGCCCCTTTTAAATGTTAATCCTAATTGTGGCACTTTGGTGACTGTCGCTTTAAATTCAAATGAGATTGTGCTGTATTTAAATAAGGGCGGAGCTACAAGTGCCTGTGTGTCAGCATAGCGGCAGATTCAAAGACTAGACAAACGTCCTATGCTAATGAGGGAGAGATAGTCACTAGTGGGCGGGGCTTTCCCCCTCTGATGACACGTACAACTGGAGAATGTCAATCAAAGTGTTTCTGCAGACTGTTTATATCAAGTGTGATTTAAAAAAAATAATTAATACATTTTTACAATTAGAGACTGGATATATTCACACACTCTCACCACACAACTACATTTAAACCCTTTATAAAAGTGATTTTTTCATAATAGGTGCCCTTTAAAACTAGTCTTACAGCTCATGTGTGCATGTGGAGGGTCGGTCCATGCGGTGTCCTTCCTTCAGCAGCTTAAAGAGCTCCTCGACGGGGACGCCGGGGTACGGAGAGCCCCCCAGAGTGAAGATCTCCCACAGCAGCACCCCAAAAGACCAGCTGAGGTCATCAACACACAAGAGTTATTACTTATGAAAGCACAGTGTATTTGAGAGATTTGCAGAGAATGTGCGTTTACACGTACACGTCACTTTGATGGGTGTATATGCGGTCAAACAGAGCTTCGGGAGCCATCCATTTCACCGGCAAACGACCCTGAAAAAAACACAACACTCAATAACTCATAATCAAAAACAGAACTAATATCTGCTTTGAAAAATGAAGCGATCAAAACCTGCTGGGATGAAAGTACATATGCTGTAAATATACACTCACTGGCCACTTTATTAGGTACACCTGTCTAACTGCTTGTTAACTCAAATTTCGGTGTAATGGCTTTATCCCTTTATGACCGCAGTGTACACATCTTCTGATGGCTACTTCCAACAGGATAACGCGCCATGTCATAAAGTGTGAATCCTCTCAGACTGGTTTCATGAACATGGCAATGAGTTCACTGTACTCAAATGGCCTCCACAGTCACCATATCTCAGTCCAATAGAGCAACTTTGGGATGTGTTGTAATGGGGGATTCACATCATGCATGTGCAGCCGACAAATCTGCAGCAACTGCGTGATGCAATCATGTCAATATGTAGCAAAATCTCTGAGGAATATTTCCAGTGCCTTGTTGAATCTCTGCCCACGAAGGATAAAGGCAGTTCTGAAGGCAAAAAGGGGTCCAACCAGGTACTAGTAAGGTGTACCTAATAAAGTGGCCAGTCAGAATAAACATAGATGGCGAAAAAGTGTTCGCCCTTTTAATGATTTTTATTTTTTTTGCATGTTTGTCACAGGTTAATGTCGATGATCATCAAACAAATGTAAAATTATTTAAAGATAACACAAGTAAACATCATACAGTTTTTATCATTAAGAGACAACAAAAACTTAAACTACATAGCACTGTGTGAAAACTTGTTTGGAAAGTGTCTGGTTCTGCAGCAGGACAATGACCCAAAGCACACAAGCTAGTCTACTTCTGAATGGCTGCAGACAAACAAAATGAAGACTTTGGAGTGGCCTAGTCAAAGTCCTGACCTGAACCCAATTGAGATCCTGTGGCATGACCTTAAAAAGGCAGCATATGATCGAAAACTCTTTAATGTGGCTGAATTACAACGATTCTGCAAAGATGAGAGGGCCAAAATTCCTCCACAGTGCTGTAACACTTATTTCTAGTTATCGAGAATGCCTAAGGGTAGCCTGACAAGTTATTAGGTGCAGAGGGCAAACACTTGATCACAAAGGGGTGTGTACTATGTATATTGCTTTTCCTTAATAATAAACTAAAGCTACAGAATGATTGATAGATAGATAGATAGATAGATGGATGGATGGATGGATGGATGGATGGATGGATGGATGGATGGATGGATGGATGGATGGATGGATGGATGGATGGATGGATGGATGGATGGATGGATATAACGATAGATAGATAGACAGACAGACAGACAGACAGACAGACAGACAGACGGACGGACGGACGGACGGACGGACGGACAGATAGATATAACGATAGATAGATATAATGATGGATGGATGGATGGATGGATGGATAGATAGATATAACGATAGATATAAAGATAGATATAACGATAGATGGATGGATGGATGGATATAACGATAGATAGATAGATAGATAGATAGGATGGATGGATGGATGGATGGATGGATGGATGGATGGATGGATGGATGGATGGATGGATGGATGGATAGATAGATAGATAGATAGATAGATAGATAGATAGATAGATAGATAGATAGATAGATAGATAGATAGATAGATAGATAGATACTGAAATCTTACATTGGTGGTCTTCTTGTAGTAATCAATATGATGGATGTCTCTGGCCAGGCCAAAGTCTGCGATCTTCATAACGTTATCTTCCGTCACCAGCACATTCCGAGCAGCCAGGTCTCGATGAATACACTATAACAGAGCGGACGGATGAGCATTAATCAATCGCATGTCCATTTGCCTGCAATGGGTGCAGTGTTTGAGATGCCCACCTTCTTGGATGCGAGATACTCCATTCCTCGGGCCACCTGATATGCGCAGGACACCAGGTCTTTAATGGACATGTTCTCCACTGGCACCTGGTCAGGGTTATAACAGTACTCCATCCCTGGTGGACGCCGTACGCGCAGATACTCCCGCAGGTTCCCTTTAGCAGCAAACTCCACGATGACGTACAGCGGACCTGATAATGCCATTTCAGACACACAGTATAAGACACGGGGTCATAAACATTGTAGGTGTTTATGTAAGTGCTGTAGAAATTAGAAGTACTCAAATCGTCACCTTAGAAAGATAAGGTTCTCTCTGACATATTTGTCAAAATTGAGTTATTGACATATTCTTATTAAATGACAACTTATTTACATTATGGGATGTTTTTTCTTTAAGTTGTTTACATTAAGACTTTTTATTTAAAAATAAAAACAAATGTTACACACATACTGTTTGCTATGAAATGCAAAAACTTTGAAACTCAATATCTCAAAATAATTCAGAACTCAGAGAGAACCTTATAATTCCAAGGTGACGAAATTACTGTCATTGACTAGTTCATTGACTTATTCATTGATTTTCCTTCGGCTTAGTTCCTTATTTATCAGAGGTCACCACAGCGACTATTTTAGTGTATATACCAACTATTTTAGTGTATATACAGGCAGCGGATGCCCATCCAGCTGCAACCCAGTACTGGGAAATTCCCATACACTCTCACATTCACACTCATACATTACAGCCAATTTATGTCTTACCCAATTCCACACAGAAAATATCAGCATTTGGTACATACTTTCAGTATTATCTTTGCTTAAACTGACCCGATCTGAGATGAACCTGCTCCCAAGCAGGTTTGAGCTACCAGAACTGTTGCTGTGACAAGAACTCTTAGATGAGCTTTGAAGAACTAAACGATCCTGGATCATGTCAAATCGTCAACAACCAAATCCATTTTTATTTATTTATATATACTTAGATTACTTTTATCAAAACAAATGCTTCTTAATATGATTGTGGAAACGATTATATGAAATTTTTTGAAGATTCTTCCATTTACATTTTGACAAATATTTGAACAACATTTACTTCAACGCTTTTGCATTCTAGTCTGTATTTAAAAAAAAATATTTGTCATTTTCTAATGTCATGTTTGATCAATCTAATGTATTCTTGCTGAAAAATAGTTATTTATTTCTTTAGAAACAAATCAAACCATTCATTTATTTATTTACCTTCGGCTAAGTTTATTATTTATCAGGGGTCGCCACAGCGGAATGAACCGCCAACTTATCCAGCATACGTTTTATGCAGCGAATGCCCTTCCGACCACAACCCAGTACTGGGAAACACCCATACACTCTCACATTGACGCACTTATACACTTCGGCCAATTAAATACATCCAATTCGCCTATAGCGCATGTGTTTGGACTGTGGGGGAAACCAGAGCACCCGGAGCAAACCCACACCAACACGGGGAGAACATGCAAACTCCACACAGAAATGACAACTGGCCCAGCCGGGACACAAACTAGTGACCTTCTTGCTGTGAGGCAACAGTGCTAACCACTGAACCACTGTGCAGCCCCCATATAAAAGATAGTGTACATAATTCACAAAGTAAACAAAAGCAATGCATTAATCAACACGAGAATGGCCTTGAAATGGTTTTAGCTCATTGATTTATGAGTGACTAAATAAGGACAATGTGAAATACCAATAGCTGGACCGATGACAACATCCTGTCCTTTTGAAGACAAAAGCAGCGCGGCTAACCAACGGATTCTGAAAGATGATTTACGCCTGCGCTGCATTATCTCTGAATGTTTCCGTCCGTCTCTAACTCACCGTCTTGTGTGCAGGCTCCCAGCAGGTTGATGATGTTCTTGTGTTTGCCAATAATCTTCATCATCTCCATCTCAGAGATCAGGTCTGACAGGTCTTTCTCCGTGGCATCCGCTAGGAAAGCAATATTGACGAACATATTTTACAATGACCGGTTACGAAATGTTTACGATGTCCCATTGTTACAGATACACAAAATCACAAAAGATTTAAACCCTAAACATAAGTAAGCTAATAAATAATAGTAGTTTATTAATGGTTTATATTAATCAGTAAATCATGAACTTGGGTGACAAATGATTTCAGGCCTTTACTTGCTGACAAGAAGGCAGAAATTATGACCAGCATCAGAATAAACGCACGGCTCTGTTCTGGAGTCACTAGCTCAGACTTGAGCACACACGCACGCACTAATGGCAGAAAATACTTACATTTGAGCATCTTGACGGCCACTTTGGTGATTCTATTGGGTTTTTCTTTATCCATCCCCATCGCCTCGGCCATCATCACCTGTCCAAAGCAGCCTTCGCCAAGAGGTTTCCCGAGAACCAGCCTGAACACACACGCACACACCATAACAACACTCTACAATCATCTGTATTTGGATGGATGGATTTTTTTGTTCTATATGTTAGATTTCATTAAATGATTTATTGATTGATATCTTGGATATATAGATGGATATGTTGGATGGATGGATGGATGGATGAATGGATGGATGGATATGTTGGTTGGATGGATGGATGGATGGGATGTGTTGGAATGGGATGGATGAATGTATTGATGGATGGATAGATGGATGGATGGATGGACAGATATGTTGGATATATGGACCGATATGTTGGATGGATGGACAGATATGTTGGATGGATGGACAGATATGTTGGATATTTGGACCGATATGTTGGATATATTGACCGATATGTTGGATGGATGGATGGACAGATATGTTGGATATGTAGACCGATATGTTGGATGGATGAACAAATATGTTGGATGGATGGACAGATATGTTGGATATATGGACAGATATGTTGGATGGATGGACAGATATGTTGGATATATGGACCGATATGTTGGATGGATGGACAGATATGTTGGATATATGGACCGATATGTTGGATGAATGGACAGATATGTTGGATATATGGACCGATATGTTGGATGGACGGACAGATGATTTGAGTGAATGGACCGATATGTTGGATGAATGGACAGATATGTTGGATATATGGACCGATTTGTTGGATGGATGGACAGATATGTTGGGTGAATGGACCGATATGTTGGATATATGGACCGATATGTTGAATGGATGGACAGATATGTTGGATATATGGACTGATATGTTGGATGGATGAACAGATATGTTGGGTGAATGGACCGATATGTTGGATATATGGACCGATATGTTGGATGGATGGACAGATATGTTGGATATATGGACTGATATGTTGGATGGATGGACAGATATGTTGGATATATGGACTGATATGTTGGATGGATGGACAGATATGTTGGATATATGGACCGATATGTTGGATGGATGGACAGATATGTTGGATATATGGACTGATATGTTGGATGAATGGGCAGATATGTTGGATGAATGGACAGATATGTTGGATGAATGGGCAGATATGTTGGAAGGATGGACAGATATGTTGGATATATGGACCGATATGTTGGATGAATGGACAGATATGTTGGATATATGGACCTGTATGTTGGATGGATGGACAGATATGTTGGATATATGGACCGATATATTGGATGAATGGGCAGATATGTTGGATGAATGGACAGATATGTTGGATATATGGACTGATATGTTGGATGGATGGACAGATATGTTGGATATATGGACTGATATGTTGGATGAATGGGCAGATATGTTGGATGAATGGACAGATATGTTGGATATATGGACCGATATGTTGGAAGGATGGACAGATATGTTGGATATATGGACCGATATGTTGGAAGGATGGACAGATATGTTGGATATATGGACCTGTATGTTGGATGGATGGACAGATATGTTGGATATATGGACCGATATGTTGGAAGGATGGACAGATATGTTGGATATATGGACCGATATGTTGGATGGATGGACAGATATGTTGGATATATGGACCGATATGTTGGATGGATGGACAGATATGTTGGATATATGGACAGATATGTTGGATGGATAAACCGATATGTTGGGTGGAAGAATGGATGTATTTTTAGATGGATGGATAGATGAATGCACCATATTGTCAGTAAATAAGGAGTTTGTTGTGTGTTACCTGTCTCGTTGCACCTCCCAGCGTGGGTCCTGGGGAAGCTCGTATTCGGAGACCCCTGAGAGCATTGGGGAGCCACTGGAGGACAGACGGGATGGACGGACCAACATCCCACCCGAATGCATAGATGAGCTGGAGTCCACAGACACCTGCACGAAAACACCTACAGCTTACTCTCCATACAACACAGCAAAAACCACACACACTGAAGGAGATCTAGTGCACTGATGGGTGTAAAGAAGTTACTCACTCTGATGGGACATCAATAGACACGAATAAAGAGATATTATACAATAAACACCACACACTAAAGGAAAACCAATCAAAACCCACATTTTCATAAAGCATAATTATTTAAAGGAACACTCCACCTTTATTTTTGTTTAAAGCTCATTTTACAAGTCTCCTAGAGTTAAACAGCTGACAATTTTTTAACCCATTCAGCTAAAATCTGAATGTAATTTTTCAGTTTCTGTTGAAGCTATTAAACAATGTAACTACAGAAGACTCAACATTTAAATAGGAAATTGGCAAACGAAATTTAACAAAATGCTAATGGTCTAATCTGATTTAGTTCATTATGCTAAGCTAAGCTAAAAATGACCCCTCCAGAAGAAGAAATCACCTGAATGGATTGAAAAATGGTTCAAGTCAAGGGCTTAACTCTAGGAGACTTGTAAAATTGCCCTTTTATTTTATTTTTTTTAAGTGGAGTTTTCTTTAACATAAAACTTTGAGTTTAAATTATTTATTAATTATATTCAACATTTAATTCAAAAGCCATATGGCAGCTTCGAAATGTACAAAGTTTATTTTAATAGCGCACATTGTTATTCTTTAAGTAAACTATTAATCAGTGCAAGTTAAAACACTTGAAAAAAAAATAGAAAAATGTTTGTCTTGGTAATCCTCAATCAAATTCTGAGCATTTTATTCTGCGTTTGGAGTGGTGGTCCTTCTCTGCTGACGTCAGTTTGATGCTTTAGCCACAATATTCTGAGCCACACCCCTCTTACCTTTAGTTTGCCACAGAAATGATGCTCAAAAAACCCCCGCCCCCTTATCAATATTCCATTTCAGATGAAAGCACATCAACATGTCTCAGCAACTTCCAGTTCATACAGACAGTCCAGTCATCATTGGGGGTGTAAGCCTCGATGAGTAGGAGGGCCGATCTTGGTGGTAGTGGCAAACATTCAAATGAGAGCTGGCAAATTATTGCAGGCCAAATTATGTCAGTCTGGAATCCACAAGACTGTGTGTTGTTCAGGGTGAATGAATTTCACATGCAAGTTTTGCAGTGTTTAAATTGGTCATGTGGATTTACTACTGTCAGGTTTTAGTTTACTAGAGGAGGAATTCGGTCAGTGCAAAAGAAATACACATGAAAAAAAACTATTTATATGTATTTATGTATGTATTATATCATCTTTGCATCAAATTACAAAATATAAATTGCCGCTAGGCGAGGCAGTGGCGCAGTAGGTAGTCCTGTCGCCTCACAACAGGAAGGTCGCTGGATCGAACCTCGGCTCAGCTGGCGTTTCTTTGTGGAGTTTGCATGTTCTCCCTGCCTTCGCGTGGGTTTCCTCCGGGTGCTCCGGTTTCCCCTACAGTCCAAAGACATGCGGTACAGGTGAATTGGGTAGGCTAAATTGTCAGTAGTGTATGAGTGTGTGTGTGAATGAGTGTGTGGATGTTTCCCAGAGATGGGTTGCGGCTGGAAGGGCATCCGCTGCGTAATATCTGGCGACCCCAGATTTTGTAAAGGGACTAAGCCGACAAGAAAATGAATGAATGAATGAAATTGCCGCTAATGCATGGCATTTCTGTTGTAGCCTCTATCGGGCAGGACAGCAAATTTGACGTTGTTCTCTCTTCCGGCTGCCGTTAACAGTCTCACAAAATTGTTTTCCTTTTTCTGAAAGTCTTGATAACACCATAATTGAATTTTTCCTTTATTATTTCACCAAATAGGATTGCCAAAAAATATTTGATGTACTCTCCCATTCACTGCGCTCTTAAGTTCACCCAACTATGACGACTTCTGCTGCTGAGAAACCTGGAAACGTGCAAAGGGTCCACTGGAAGTCCATCAACACACTGAAATAAAATTCGGTCGATGCAGACTTTCAATGAACAACATTACAGTTAAATATTGATCCTATTCGATGTCTTTGACTGTTGTTACGTCCGTGCAATCACTAAATCCATCAGTATCCACCAGATGCCACAACAAACAGCTGCTGAAATGAGATGTTTGTGTGTTTAGTAGTAAAGATATCAAACCCCCTATCTACTTTCTGTTACCTGTCTGCGCAGGGGGATGCTCTTGGCCAGCTTGTGGACGGCCAGCTGGCTGTTGAAGTCGCTTTTCTTGGCAGAGCTGTGCATTTTGGCCAGCACGGCGGTCCCCACCATCACACAGATGAGGAAGAAGCCCACGCAGTAGATCAGCACCTCCAGGTACGTCTGGTTGGGCAGCTGAGTCGGGGGAACGGCTGGATTATAAAAGAAAGGAACAATGCAGGGTGGCAGAAGGGAAGGGGTGATGATCATGTTTATTGACCTTCGTGAGCTGAGAAAACACAGCTATTTACATCTCAGTTGACTCAACTTTTAATCTAAGTACTGCTTTTGACTTGATTTAAGTCAACTCAAAAAGCCATGAAGCAAGTTGCCTTATATTTTAAGTTGAGTCAACTTTCTTTCTTTTTTTAACAGTGATGCAGTTAAAAACAGAAGTGTACATACACTGTATAAAAAGGCATACAACCATTTAAAAAAGGTCAGATGGTAATGTGACTAAACTGTTTCTCTTTTAGGCAAGTCAGGATTATCAAATGTGTTTCTGTTCTGCTTAATAGCAGAATAATGAGAGAGAGATTTTATGAGAAATTGTTTTAACTTTTCTTGAAAGTCAAGTTCACATATAATACGATTATTCTGCCTCTGAAAAAGCTCAGATGATGATGTCAAGTTTTTGGAAGATTCTGATTGGCTAATTGACAACATTTGAGTTAATTGGAGGCACGACTGTAGAATAGTATTAAAGGAAAACCTCAAGCACACTGCTTCCTTGTGTGACAACATGGGAAAATCAACAAGCCAGAATCAACAACTAAGCCAGATTACAGTTTGCTAAATTTCACTGGGAAAACGAATAATGTTTGGAGGCATGTCCTGTGCTCTGATGAATCTAAGATTGAACTGTTTGGCCATAATGACCAGTGCTACATTTGGAGGACAAAGGGGAAAGCGCACAAGCCTGGGAACACCATCCCAACTGTGAAGTATGGGGGCGGCAGCATCATGTTGTGGGGCTGTTTTGCTGCAGGAGGGACTGGTCCACTTCACAGCATAGATGGCATCATGAAGAAAGAACATTATATAGAAATACTGAAGCAACATCTCAAGACATCAGCCAGGAAATTAAAACTTGGCCACAAATGGATCTTCCAAACAGACCATGACCCTAAGCATGCTGCCAAATGAGTTAAAATGTGCTTGAAAGACAACAGATTGAATGTTTTGGAGTGGCCATCACAAAGCCCTGATCTCAATCCTATAGAAAATGTGTGGGCAGAGTTGAAAAAGCTTGTGCGAGCAAGACAGCCTACAAATCTGACTCAGCTACACCAATTCTGTCAGGAGGAATGGGCCAAAATTCCTGCAAACTATTGTGTGAAGCTTGTGGAAGGAGACCCAAAACATTTGACCAAAGTTATACAGTTTAAAAGCAAAGCTAAAAAAATACCAAGAAAATGTGTGTAAACTTTTAAATGTCTAGAAATTAATAATAAAAAAAAAAGTCTCAAAAAAAAATTTAGCTCATTATTCTGGCATTTAGCAAATGTAAATCATTCAGGTAATCCTAACGGACCTAAAATAGTAAATGTTTAGTATGATTTAACACCAGACGTTTTTAAAAAAAAATGGTTATGTTCATTTTTTTAGAGTGTATGTAAACTTCTGGTTTCAACTGTAAATATGAATTAACACATGCAATTCCTTTTAAAATCAAAACACACAGAAATGCACACACACACACACACACACACACACCAAAAGAAAACCTCATTTAGGGAAGTTGTTGTTTCACGTGAATGGTGCACTGCGAAGAACACAAACTCCTATTGTAGCATCATAATCACTTCTTTCATGGATCGGGTTTCACGGCACATTCTTCTGCTTATATGACTAGCAGGAGAAGGAAACCGCGGCTCATGATACTTGGCAGCTCTCGCTTCGAGATTAGACCCCCCCCCCAAAAAAATGGGCTCATGTAAACTCATATGAGACATTAAATTTGCAACACAAATACAAATGTAAATTGAGAGGAATGGCTTATCTGGGCGGGTCCACTAAATCTGAACTGGGTATGTGTTTCAGTGAAGGATAAATGGAGAGTTAGGTTATGGGGCTAAAATTACACGAGAAGTCAGGCTGATACAGATATTTCCTACGCTGTTTGCTTGGTGTTTGTCTGCCCCAGAGGCTCTGCTTTATTATACTGGGTGTCTTTCACATAGTCCATGCACACACAAAAGATGTCATTGTATCGTGTGTATACGTTTCACACAGCACACAACAATATGCATGCAAATGCATCTCACTGGCAGGTCACTTCTCTTTGGCTTGACTTTTAATCGACAATCATATTTGAATGCTGAGGTGTGAACATGAAGCTCGAGTAATAGTATTTTATTGGTCGACTGCACATGCAAATGCAAAAAGATCAACATTCAAGGATTAAAGGGATAAATAGTTCACCTAGAAATTAAAATGTGCGATTAATTTAGCCACCCACAGGTCAACTTTTGTTCTTCAGTAGAACATTACAGAAGATTTCGAGCTGAATCTGTTGTTTTTGGTTATGATATAATGGCAGTGAATGGTTACAGGCTTTTTAGATTCAAAATAAAGACTTACAAATGAATCCAAATCTATAGTCATGGCTCCTGATGAAACATTTGAGGTCTTGTGAGGCCAAACGATCGCTCCGTGTAAGAAGTTGAACATTATTTACAATATTACTAGCTTTAATCCACACCCTGGACTTCAATCGGACTACATTCGCACATACACTCACCGGCCACTTTATTAGGTACACCTGTCCAACTGCTTGTTAATGCAAATTTCTTATCAGCCAATCGCATGGCAGCAACTCAATGCATTTAGGCATGTCGACATGGTCAAGACGACCTGCTACAGTTCAAACTGATTATCAGAATGGGGAAGGAAGGGGATTTCAGTGACTTTGAATGTGGCATGATTGTTGATGGTTTGAGTATTTCAGAAACTGCTGATCCACTGGGATTTTCACGCACAACCATCTCTAGGGTTTACAGAGAATGGTCTGAAAAAGAGAAAAGATCCAGTGAGCGGCAGTTCTGTGGGCGCAAATGCCTTGTTGATGCCAGAGGTCAGAGGAGAATGGCCAGACTGGTTCCAGCTGATAGAAAGGCAACTCAATTTGGCATCAACAACATGAAAGCATGCATCCATCCTGCCTTGTTTCAACGATCAGGCTGGTGGTGGTGGTGTAATGGTGTGGGGGATATTTCCTTGGTGCACTTTGGGTCCATTAGTTCCAATTGAGCATCGTGTCAACACCACAGCCTACCTGAGTATTGCTGCTGACCATGTCCATCCCTTTATGAGCACAGAGTCTCCATCTTCTGATGGCTACTTCCAGCAGGATAACGCACCATGTCATAAAGTATGAATCATCTCAGACTGGTTTCATGAACATGGCAATGAGTTCACTGTACTCAAATGGCCTCCACAGTCACCAGATCTCAATCCAATAGAGCACCTTTGGGATGTGGTGGAACGGGAAATTCGCATCATGGATGTGCAGCCGACAAATCTGCAGTAACTGTGTGACGCTATCATGTCAATATGGAGCAAAATCTCTGAGGAATATTTCCTGTATCTTGTTGAATCAATGCCACGAAGGATGAAGGCAGTTCTGAAGGCAAAAGGGGTCCAACCTGGTACTCCCGTAACATGTACCTAATAAAGTGGCCGGTGAGTGTTTATGTCTGTTTGATCAGGCTGTGGAACAAAGCTAATAATATTGCAAAACAACGTTCAATTTCCTTCAGAGACTGATGGTTTGGCTTAACAAGACCTTAGAGGGTCATCAGGAGCCATGACTATTTAGACTCATTTGAATGTGTTCATATTGAATCTAAAAAACCCTGTCACCATCATCACCAAGAACAACAGATTTAGCTCAAAATCTTCCAGTAAATTACCACAAATGTCCAAATTTGGGTGAACTATCCCTTTAAGAAGGAAATGTTGGACTGACAAGCATCTTGATAAACTGAATCGATTTAAATGCATAAATCGATTCTCCCTCTAGGTGAGGTGCTTATCAAAACCCGAGCCGAAGAGGAAATGATGTCAGCATAGTGTTGCTTATGCTCACAGTCAGGCTCTTCGGGATGCTTGTCTAGTATTCAGGCAAAAAAAAAAAAAAAAAAAAAAAGTTAATAGGAAACAGGTTAATCTTGAAAAACTCGGAAAGGATTTTATATACTGAAAGTTTATCCTGGAAACAAAGCGTCACCAAACCTCCAACCACAAAACTTAAAACGTGAAACTTAAAAATATAATACAAACCAAATATTGATAAATTAATCGCCATTACTAAAAACGGACACTTATTTCTTATTGTGGATTGTGGATCTACTTTCTGTCAATTTTCAAGACAGGTAAAAAATAATATCTTATTTTCAGACATAATTAGATTATGATACAAGATAAAAACTATGTAAGCATTTATGTAGTGTAGTATTATATAAATAGAAAACACTACAATAACACTACATGAACAATGACGTGTTAATATGTAAACTGAACATTACAGTATTATGAATTAATGATGAGTTAATGTATGCGATAATCATGAACTTATACAACATTCATGTGGGAATAACGGCTACCTTAATTACTTGTTTGTAGATGATTGTTTGTTAATTAATGTAATAATTACCACATTAGTTCATGCTTTAACCATCATGAACTCATATGTTAATGTATAATGATATCATGACTTTACTTGAAGGGGCACATCATCATTAACCCATTCTTAACTCCTCATGAACTTCTTGTGCACGTCAGTCTAGTGCGTTTACACTGAATAACAATGGAAGAGTGTTCTGTCAACACCAACAGTTTAAACACAGGAGTTCATGAGTAGTAAGGATGAGTTTACGGTGAAGTCATGCATAATCATACACTAACAGCTCACAAATGCATGTTGGTTACATGTGGCTTAAAATTAAATGTTAGTTAATACATTAACATGTACTAACAAGTAATTAAGGTAGCCGTTATTCACACACGTTGTAGTTAAAGTTCATGATTAGCATGCACCTTAACTCATTATTAATTCATAATAATGTTTAGTTTACATATTAATACATAGTTATTTATGTATTATTATTGTAAAGTGTTACCTATATTAATTAAAAGTGTATATTAACAA